TTTAACTGACGTCAGTTTGAACTGTGACAGTTATAACTGAACAGTCATAACCGTCAGTAAAACTGCACGTTCGTGGCCGGCCTATTAGGGCCCGATGGTCCAGGCGGAATTAGGGACTGCCAACATGAAGTCCACGGCAAGGGAGGCTTCCTCAACAACGCACATGTGTTGCTGAGCACCTACTACTACTATTTCCATGTACACATATGTGTCACGATTATGCGACACATTGGAGAGACTTTGATTGCTGGTCGTTCCCGGACTGAGATACCTAGCCGTGATGAAACACGGTTGCAGAGCAATGCTGTGAATAAAGCGACCCATTAAGTGAGTTAAAACCCCTTCCAATTTGACACAAAACAAATTTTAAGAAGGTTCTGTGATTGACAACCTTGTGTAATGACCACTTAGATGTTTTGATTGGCAGATTCCATCTTTCTCGCGGGATTGCTGACCAATTAGGTGGGATCTTGCGTGGGATCTAAGTTTTGATTGGCGGTTGCAGGTATTTGGGAAAAGTTTGGGGTAATTTCATGGAAGGATTTGAGCTGTCGCTTTCACCTCGTTCGTGGATTTATATTGTGGTAATTATTGGTCCCCGTCGCCTGTCAATGTCCGTCCAGGTCTCTCCTCACCTCACCTGTCTTCTCGTCTCTCATCAGCATCTCTCTCATCTGCGCCTATTCCATCCTCATCTCTCTTATCCTCACCTTTCCCATGCTCACCTCTCCCATCCTCACCTCTCCCATCCTCACCTCTTCACCCTAACATGGCTATTCTTATCTTTCTCACCTTCACTTCTCCTATCCTCTCCTCTTCCACCTTCACCTCGCCGACTTTCCACCCGGACCTCTCCTCACTCTTCCCTTCACTACCCCTCACAGCTCCCCGTCACTCTCTCCGATCATTTTCTCCGCCAGTCCCTCCTCCCTTCTTGTCACCTTCCCTCCTCCACCCCTTCTTCACTCCATTTTATCATCCCCCCCTTCCTCTACCCGCTCCCCTCAATTCACTCTCTCTACACCCGTCTTCCCACTCTCTTCTCTGTTCCTTCCTCTACACAATCAGCCACCAACTCCCCCGAGGGTCTTGAAGGAGTTTCACCCCTCTCACTTCTTCCTAGGGTCAACCTCTCCCTCCCCTTACCTCCCTTCCACTGCTCTCGCATCCTACTCCATTCTTTCACTCTCTCTCTCATCTTCCCTTTCCCCTACTCCCTCCCTTAGGACATAAACCTCACAATCACCCGCCAACTCCTCCAGCACGTCTTGAAGGCGTCTTTAATATTCAACAAAACTATTCACATTTTTGTTCGACCGTCATCTGAAGATTTTTATTTTTGTCGGTTCAAAGTGAGAGAAAAAGAACTGGTGGAAATGATAATGATGAAGAGAAGTTGGCTGAGGCTTCCGTAATGTGGTGGTGGTGGTGGTGGTGGTGGTGACGGTGGTGGTGACGGTGGTGGTGGTGGTGTTGGTGGTAGTGGTGGTGGTGGTGACGGTGGTGGTGGTGGTGTTGGTGGTGGTGGTGACGGTGGTGGTGGTGGTGTTGGTGGTGGTGGTGACGGTGGTGGTGGTGGTGGTGGTGGTGGTGGTGGTGGTGGTGGTGGTGGTGGTGGTGACGGTGGTGGTGGTGGTGTTAGTGGTAGTAGTGGTGGTGGTACGGTGGTACGGTGGTGGTGGTGGTGGTGGTGGTGACGGTGGTGGTGGTGGTGGTGGTGGTGACGGTGGTGGTACGGTGGTGGTTGTGGTGGTTGTGGTAGAAGTAGTTGTGTGGTGATGATAGATTCGTTAATTATTTTATATTATGTAATGGAATGGAATTATCAGGAGGAAAGCGCCAAGCCATTACGACTATATAGCACTTGGAAGGGGTCAGGATAAGGATTTGGGATGGGACGAATGGAACGACGATTTGGGGGAAGGAATGGTGCCCAACCACTTGGATGGTCAGGGATTGAACGCCGACCTGCATGAAGCGAGACCGTTGCTCTACCGTCCAGCCCAAGTAGTTGGACGGTAACAAGAGTTTAAAATATTCAGATCCAAATATTAAGTGCTAACTACAAGAAACATTGTATACAAACTGTTGTCTAGATGTAAGAGAGTCGGAAACGTTGGCCTATCTTGAGGTTATCTTGAGAGGATTTCGGGGTTTAGCTTCCCCGCGGCCCGGTCCTCGACCAGGCCTCCTTTTTTATTACACACCCCCAGGAAGAAGCGCGTAGCAGCTGTCTAACTTCCAGGTACCTATTTTCTGCTAGGTAACAGGGGCAATAGAGTGAAAGAAACTTTTTGTCCATTTTTCTCCACCTCCCGGAACCTCAGGACTACAAATTGGAAGTGCTGTCCACTCAGCTGTCAGGCGCCCAAATCGTCGTCGGCATTGACGTATAATCCACCTCGATGCTGATAATGGGGCTTTAACAAAGCCCTGTGTTGGCTTTTAGGCGAAATTTCACGGGCCTGTGGTATGACTATGCCCTTTATGATTCAGCATGGCACAATTTTAAATTTATTGTTGACATGAGCAAGTCATGTGTGGGCACCTGAATCCACCATTGTTGGCCATTGTGTAATTTGTTTTTAATTTTACCTGCAAAGCATGCAAATAAGTGACATAATTATATACAGGGAAAGGGCAGTAAAAACAAAGGTACAACACAACCCCAAACAAGGGTACAAAAGTACAAAATTCACAGGCCTGAAGAGCTTACAGAAAACAATGACATACATGAATCACAAAAGCAGGCGCAACAGTGGAGAAGCAAAACACGAAAAGGGAGCATCCGGGAGAACTACAGCAGCACCAGGAACGCCACCAGCTGCAGGACACCCAACTGAGAACGGCACAACCACCGGATCACAAGCCCCATCAGGAACAGGTGCACTCTCCGACACAGGGCGCGTCACATCACCCAAGGCTACGTCCACAACTGCATCCACTGGAACCTCCTCCACAGCCAACGGCGGGAAATCTTCCTCATGAAATAGATTCACGTGCGGGACGACAGCCGCTAGGTGACCCCACAACCCACAGCGAAAACACATACGAGGCTGACGGGCATTGTATACCCGGATGGAATACCCCATGAGCCGCACCGAGGACGGGATATCCGACCGCAGCCGCATCCGCAGAGTGCGAATACTAGTCCGGACGCCCCGAAACTTCCCGGAGGAAACCAGATTGAGCCTCACACTCACTACAGCATCAAACTGCCCAAAGCATCACCGCAGCAGCTCCTCCAGAAATTCAAGGGGCTCACCATGCACACTGACAAAGCCCCACTGCGGTCCGAGACAACAACCGCACCAGCAGGGTCGGTAGGGGCAAGGACCGCCCCTCATAACATCGTAAAAACTCCCTGTAATAGTCTTCCACCGCAAACTTCACAATAACTCGATGTGAAGACACTAATTCCACACCATAGATTGCAGCTACAGGAACACACAGCATATCACACATCACTAATTCCACGGCTGGGTAGTAGGGCCTTCCAGTAAATTTCAGGCCCACCGAATGAGCCCACAAAACGGGGGGAAGGGGCCCCCCCCCATCATGCAATCCACGTCAGCACACAACGAGGCAGTCAACAACCACTCACGCTGGACAACAACTGGAGCACAGCCGGGCACCTCCGCGCCTGCCTGCTGGGGGTGAAATCCTCTTTGTTGACACGAGCGAGTCCTGTGTGGGCACCTGAATCCACCACTGTTGATCACTGTGTAAAGTGATGGACACTCTCATGGCAAAGTGTTGCTAGCCTCGACCCCGTCTGTTTGGATCGAGTGTTCTTCAAGATGATGGAGCGGTCAGCTGCTTTTTACAGAAAACGTAAATTCTCATTTATATTAAAAAAAAGTCTCGGTTCATACAGGTCGGCGTTCAATCCCCGAATGTCCAAGTAGTTGGTGATCACCATTCATTCTCCCCGGCCCATCCCAAACCCTTATCCTGACCCCCTTCCAAGTGCTATATAGTCGTAATGGCTTGGCGCTTTCCATTGATTATTTCCTCCCTTCAGATACGAAGTGGCCCGCGACGATACGTGTGTCAAGCTAAATCACAGGTCATGTATAAATGTTCAGAATGTCAAACCCAATTTGAACTAAACAGTGCGGGACACACATTTTATGAAATAATCTCACTGTTCAGTTAATAGCAACAAATCTCACAAAAATAATCTTGTATCGAGGGACAGGCGATATTGCCCCGTTTACCAACCCATAATATAAAGTAAACAATTAAGAACATATCAAAAGACAATTAGGTGACTAAAATAACTAGAGTGGGAAACAGTTGTCCTGTTTCTCTCATCCACCTCTCTCTCTCTCTCTCTCTCTCTCTCTCTCTCTCTCTCTCTCTCTCTCTCTCTCTCTCTCTCTCTCTCTCTCTCTCTCTCTCTCTCTCTCAAGACATACTTACCTATCGGTACCCAGCTATCAGTGACTACGGGGAGTTATGTGTCGAATCTGTCCTTAAAGACCTTAAAGATGTAGATGGAGGTGGCTTTCACAACGTCTTCTTTCGGTACATTTCACGTGTTGCCTACCCGCACAGGGTAATGTCACTCTAAATCTAGTGACATTAAGATTACAATATGTAGTGAATTAATTCCTTATTGCATTTTGTTTCGTTCATAATCCGCTATGATTCGGGCCTGCAACCGTACCAACTTTCTTTCAAAAGGAAATCCTTATAAAACGCTGAGTTCCATTTGGTCAAGAGACAGGACCCATTAACAAAGGCGGAGCAGGACAGTCAATGAGTACAAATCAACAGCACATATTCTCTTAAGAGTATTTTAGCGATATTACTACAATAATGACTTGAGTCCCAATCAGTATATTAAGGATAATATCGTCTATCATCAGTAGTTCTGAAGTGATTACTCTCTGTCATCCTTGTCTTGGATCTCAAGGCCTCTGCGCCTCACCTCAATGGTAGTCAAACCAGCAAATCTAAAAATTAATCCGATCATATCTCCGATAGTGAGCTATTTGATCAGTATTGATCATTAACATAATTTCCCAATTAACATTGGGAAACAAAGAGAAACTGACTCCCAGGTATCTATTTACTGATATGTGAACAGATACATAAGGGTAAAAGAAACTCTGCCAATTTTTTCTGCCTAGGCCGGGGAGGCAGTGTGTTTGTGTGTGTATGTGTGTGTGCGTGTGTGTGTGTGTGTGTGTGTGTATTCGCTTAGTTGTATTCACTTAATTGTGCTTGCAGGGGTTGAGCTCAGCTCTTTCGGCCCGCTTCTCAACCGTCAATCAATCAACTTTTTTTTCACATACAAACAAACTCTCCCCCCCCCAGGAAGCAGCCCGTAGCAGCTGTCTAACTCCCAGGAGCCTATTTACTGCCTAGAAACAGGAGCATCAGGGTGAATGAAACTCTGCCCATTTATTTTCCGCCTCCACCAAGGATCGAACCTGGAACCTCAGGACTACGAATCCGAAGCGTTGTCCACTCAGCTGTCAAGCCTCCCTGACAGCTCTGCCCTGACTGCTCTGAATACTGATTTACTACTGATCACACACTTTGGCGAGTGTGTACTTACCAAGTTGTACTCACCTAGTTGTGCTTGCGGGGGTTGAGCTTTGTCTCGTTGGTCCCGCCTCTCAACCGTCAATCCACTGGTGTACAGATTCCTGAGCCTACTGGGCTCAATCATACCTATATATGAAACTGTGTATGGAGTCAGCCTCCACCACATGACTTACTAGTGCATTCCATTTATTAACTACTCTGACACTGAAAAAAATCTTTCTAACGTCTCTGTGGCTCATCTGGGTACTAAGTTTCCACCTGTTTCGTGTTCCACTCGTGCTGAAGAGTTTGTCTTTGTCTACCCTGTCAATTTCCTTGAGAATTTTGCAGGTGGTTATCATGTCTCCCCTTACTCTTCTGTTTACCAGGGACGTGAGGTTCAGCTCCTTTAGCCTTTCCTCGTAGCTCATTTCTCTCAGTTCCGGGACGAGCCTGGTGGCATACCGCTGAATCTTCTCTAACTTTGTCTTGTGTTTAACTAGGTGTGGACTCCAGGCTGGAGCTACATATTCCAGGATTGGTCTGACATAAGTGGTATAAAGGGTCCTAAACGTTTCCTTACACAAGTTTCTAAAGGCAGTTATGTTGGCCAGTCTAGCATATGCCGCTGATGATATCCTTTTGTTGTGGGCCTCTGGGGACAGGTTCGGTGTGATATCAACCCCCAGATCTTTCTCTCTATTTGACTCTTGCAGGATTTCACCTCCCAGATAGTACCTTGTGTTCACCCTCCTGCTCCCTTCGCTTAATTTCATTACTTTACACTTTCCTGAGTTTAACTTTAGCCGCCATTTTCTAGACCATTCCTCCAGTTTGTCCAGGTCATCCTGTAGTCTCTGTCTATCATCATCCGTCTTTATTCTTCTCATAATTTTTGTATCAACAGAAAACATGGAGAGGAATGCGTCTATAAGCTCCGGAAGATCGTTTACATATATTAGAATCAGGATGGGTCCAAGTACTGAGCCCTGTGGGACTCCGTTGGTGACATCTCGCCACTCTGATGTGTGTACTCACCTATATGTACTCACCTATATGTGCTTGCAGGATCGAGCATTGACTCTTGGATCCCGCCTTTCTAGCTATCGGTTGTTTACAGCAATGACTCCTGTCCCATTTCCCTATCATACCTAGTTTTAAAAGTATGAATAGTATTTGCTTCCACAACCTGTTCCCCAAGTGCATTCCATTTTTCTACTACTCTCACGCTAAAAGAAAACTTCCTAACATCTCTGTGACTCATCTGAGTTTCCAGTTTCCACCCATGTCCCCTCGTTCTGTTATTATTACGTGTGAACATTTCATCTATTTCCACTTTGTCAATTCCCCTGAGTATTTTATATGTCCCTATCATATCTCCTCTCTCCCTTCTTTTCTCTAGTGTCGTAAGGTTCAGTTCCTTCAGCCGCTCTTCATATCCCATCCCTCGTAGCTCTGGGACAAGCCTCGTCGCAAACCTCTGAACCTTCTCCAGTTTCTTTATGTGTTTCTTCAGGTGGGGGCTCCATGATGGCGCGGCATACTCTAAGACGGGTCTCACGTAGGCAGTGTAAAGCGCCCTAAAAGCTTCCTCATTTAGGTTTCTGAATGAAGTTCTAATTTTCGTCAGTGTAGAGTACGCTGCTGTCGTTATCCTATTTATATGTGCCTCAGGAGTTAGATTAGGTGTCACATCCACTCCCAGGTCTCTTTCTCGAATCGTTACAGGTAGGCTGTGTGTGTGTGTGTGTGTGTGTGTGTGTGTGTGTGTGTACTCACCTAATTGTACTCACCTAATTGTGCTTGCGGGGGTTGAGCTCTGGCTCTTTGGTCCCGCCTCTCAACCGTCAATCAATAGGTGTACAGGTTCCTGAGCCTATTGGGCTCTATCATATCTACACTTGAAGCTGTGTATGGAGTCAACCTCCACCACGTCACTTCATAATGCATTCCATTTGTCAACCACTCTGACACTAAAAAAGTTCTTTCTAATATCTAGGTATGTGTGTGTGTGTGTGTGTGTGTGTGTGTGTGTGTGTGTGTGTGTGTGTGTGTGTGTGTGTGTGTGTGTGTGTGTGTGTGTGTGTGTGTAATTACCTAAGTGTAGTTTCAGGATGAGAGCTACGCTCGTGATGTCCCGTTTTTCCAGTACTCTTTGTTGTATAACGCTTTGAAACTACTGAAGATTTTGACCTCCACCACCTTCTCACTTAGCTTGTTCCACCCGTCTACCACTCTGTTTGCAAAAAAAAAAAAAACTTTCTATTTTTTTCTGCAACATTGCTTCATTAGCTTGAATCTGTGTCATCTTGTTCGTGACGTTACTGGTTTTAGGAATTCCTCTTTGTCAATTTGGTCGATTCCTGTTAATATTTTGTATGTGGTGATTATAACTCTTCTTATTGTGTCCTATAGTTTTGGCATGTTTAACGACACTAGTCTTTCCTCTTAACTCATGTTTCTTAGTCCCGAAAGCCATTTTGTAGCATGCCGTTGCACCTTTTTTACAGTTTCTTATGTGCTTCTTGAGATTTGGGCACCATTCAACAGCTGCATATTCCAATTTTGTTATGACACAAGTCATGAACATTTTCTTTAGTATTTCACCATCCATATAATTAAAAGCAAGTCTGAAGCAGGAAGGCGATGCATCCGCTCCTCCCGCAATGTTCTTTATTTTGACTTAGCCCTTTGGCGAGATCTTACTATCCAAAACCACCCCTAGGTTTCGCTCTTTATTAGAGTTCTGTAATTCCATTCCACATAATTTGTAAATTGTGTATGGTCTATTTTCTCCGAATCCACATTCCATAACAAGGCATTTATTCCCATTAAATATCTTTTGCCATTGACGCTTATTTTATCTAGATCGGTTTTAAGGGCATTACAGTCATCTGCGTTTCCAGTCTTCCCCAGAACCTTAGCATCATCCGCAAACTTGTTCATATAATTCTGTATTCCTTCTGGTAGATCGTTTATTTAGTCGATGGACATTACTGATGCTAACTGAACCCTGAGGTACTCCACTAGTAACTCTTCTTCAGTCATATACATTGTCTCTGATTACTGCCCTCATTTGTCTGTCAGTTAGAAAAATTTTAATCTGTCAGAAGTCTCTCTGTCTTCCCTCCAGCATGCTCCAGTTTCCAGAACAGCTTCTTGTATGGGACTCTGTCAAAAGCCTTTGTTAGGTCCAGATAGACATAGTCAACCCAACCACCTCTTTCCTGTAGTATCTCTGTGGCTCTATCATAAAAATTAAGAAAATTAGTTTCACATGATCTTCCTGTTCGAAAACCATACTGTCTGTCCTTTTTATGTCATTACTCTCTAGGTGTTCAACCCATTTGGTTTTAACTATTTTTTTAGTGTTTTGACTTCCATGCTTATTAATGACACTGGTCTATAATTTAGAGGTTCCTCTTAACTACAATTTTTATAGACTGATACTATGTTTGCCTGTATCCATATATTTGCTAAGATTCCTGTTCACAAGGATGTCGGGAATATTATTTGGAGTGGAATGCTCAGCTCAGTTGGACATTCTCGCAGCAGCCAAGGTGAAACTCAGTCAGGTCCAACTGTCTTTTTTTTTTTTAGCCCCTTGAGTAATTTTTCAACTTCATCTTCAAGCTTTATACTGACTAGTAAGAAATTCTTTTGAAATAAATGAAGCTAAAAAACAATCTTAAATATTCCTAGGCCTAGTACAGCACACATATGTACTGTATTGGGCCTCAGATATCGTGTATTAAGCCTAGGACGGTTAGATTAGGTTAGTTTAGTTTGTCAGAGCAACACAAGTAAGAAATAATTTTCCAGTTACTCCAACTCAATAGTTCAGATTTCTGCTTTCTAATTTCGTTGTATGTCGATATATGTACTATGATCCTCATCGTTACTATTAGTACTACCAAAACAGGAGGATAGGTTGAAACACACACACTTTGGAACTGTTCATTTAGCGTTTCACACATTTCTTTTTTCATTCTCAGTAGTCCAGTTCCCCTTTCTCAACATCTAGGTTTTATCCTTTACATGCAGCTTGCTTTTAAGGAATTTATAAAAATGGCCTTGATCTGTTTTACATTTGTCCGCTATGCCTTTCTCAAACCTCCTTTCTGCCTCTCTCCTCGCTGTTGTGTAATCGATTCTTGCTTGCTTGTAGTGCTGCTATGTTTGTGTGTTAGGCCTCTTCCTATATTGAACCCATTTTCATGTCTTTTCCTCTCTGGCCCTCTCACAATTTCTGTTGAACCTGTGTGTATTCACCTAGTATTCACCTAGTTGTATTTGTGGGGATTGAGCTCTGCTCTCTTTCCCCGCCTCTCAACTGTCAATCAATCAACTGTTACTAACTATTAATTTTTTTTCACACACACTCACACACACACACGCGCGCACACACACACACGCGCGCACACACACACACGCGCGCACACACACACACGCGCGCACACACACACACACACACACACACACACACACACACACACACACACACACACACATATACACACACACACACACATATACACACACACACACACACACACACACACATACACACACACACACACACACACACACACACACACACACACACACACACACACACACACACACACACACACACACACACACACACACACACACACACACACATGCGAGCAAGGGTGTACAGGCACATATGAGCTGAGGTGTGCAGGCCCACGTGTGCAGGCACATGTGAGTTAATTAAGGTGTGCTGGAACAGACATAAACGCTACCAAGTCCCACTGACTGCAATTAATCCATCATTCTCAAATGCCTCGTTACGGCAGCAAATTATAATTTTTTTTTTGTTCATGAGCCTCGTAGAGATTTCCTCTACTGTTATTCTTACCCTATCTATCCCATTCCCTTGTTCCTTCTCTCTACAGTCCCCCCATTCAATGCTCCCAATGTCGTTTTATCACCTATTCATTCATTTCCCTTGCGCTGTACCGTTTGTCTAGAACATTATTCTATCATCTATTCCTTCTTCCTATTTAACTCCTTTTACCTTACTTCCTCCTTTAGCGCCCCCTTCCCACTCTGATCCCCATTCCCCTCCATTCATGCTCCAATTCCTCTCTTCTCCTCCCTTCTCTTCCTATTTAATGCCTCCCTTCACGTACTCTCCCCCTCCATACCCATCTTTTACCGCTGGTCAGCTGTCACGTGATGGATCCAATTTTCCTAATGGGGGATTTTAATGGATTATTTAACTATTAATCTTTCTCACGAGAGTTGTCAGAAAATAAATCGCCTGACGCGCATTAATTTTCAGAGAATTTTGAAAGCGTCGCTTCAACAACAACAACAACAACAACAACAACAACAACAACAACAACAACAACAACAACAATAACAACAACAATAGGGACAGGTACAACCAAAGCGATAACAAGAGCAACATGAATTATTATTTGTAATACCATTACTGACACTGTTAATATTACAGCGGCAGTTATTGTTTCTGCTTCTACTGCAGCTACGATTATTGATACTATGGCTACTATGGCTACTATGGCCACTATGGCTACTACGGCTACTATAGCCACTATGGCTACTATGGCTACTACGGCTACTATAGCCACTATGGCTACTACGGCTACTATGGCTACTGTGGCTACTGTGGCTACTATAGCCACTATGGCTACTACGGCTACTAAAGTCACATGGCTACTACGGCTACTATGGCTACTGTGGCTACTATAGCCACTTTGGTTACTACGGCTACTATAGCCACTATGGCTACTACGGCTACTATAGCCATTATGGCTACTACGGCTACTACGGCTACTATAGCCACTATGGCTACTACGGCTACTATGGCTACTGTGGCTACTATAGCCACTTTGGCTACTACGGCTACTAAAGCCACTATGGCTACTACGGCTACTATGGCTACTGTGGCTACTATAGCCACTTTGGCTACTACGGCTACTATAGCCACTATGGCTACTACGGCTACTATGGCTACTGTGGCTACTGTGGCTACTATGGCTACTATAGCCACTATTGCTACTATAGCCACTATGGCTACTACGGCTACTATGGCTACTATAGCCACTATGGCTACTATAGCCACTATGTCTACTATAGCCACTATGGCTACTACGGCTACTGTGGCTACTATGGGTACTATAGCCACTATGGCTACTATGGCTACTACTGTTATTATGACTACTTTGGCTTCTATGGCTACTACAACTACTACAGCCACTATGGCTACTACGACTATTACTGCTAATATGGCTAGTACAGCTACTATGGCTCAACGGCTGCTACGGTCATTATGGCTACAACGGCTACTATGACTACTACGGCTACTATGGCTACTACGGCTACTATGGCTACTATAGCCACTATGGCTACTACGGCTACTATGGCTACTATAGCCACTATGGCTACTATGGCTGCTACTGTTAATATGGCTACTACAGCCACTATGGCTATTATTGCTACTATGGCTACTACTGTTAATATGACTACTACAACTACTACAGCCACTATGGCTATTATGGCTACTACAACCACTATGGCTACTACGGCTATTCCAGCTAATATGGCTCAACGGCTGCTACGGTCACTACGGCTACTATGGCTACTACGGCTACTCTGGCTACTACGGCAACTATAGCTACTATGGCTACTATGGTTACTACGGCTACTATGGCTACTACGGCTACTCTGGCTACTACGGCAACTATGGCTACTATGGTTACTATGGCTACTATGGCTACTATGGCTACTACGGCTACTATGACTACTACGGCTACTCTGGCTACTACGGCAACTATGGCTACTATGGCTACTATGGTTACTACGGCTACTATGGCTACTATGGCTACTATGGCTACTATGGCTACTACGACTACTATGGCTACTATTGCTTCTACGGCTACTACGGCTATTATGGCTACTATGGCTACTAAGGCTACTATGGTTACTACGGCTACTATGGCTACTACGGCTACTATGGCTACTATGACTAATATGGTTACTATGGCTACTAACGCTTCTATAGCTACTATGGCTACTACACATACTATGGCTACTACACATACTATGGCTACTACACATACTATGGCTACTACACATACTATGGATACTACACATACTATGGCTACTACACATACTATGGCTACTACACATACTATGGATACTACACATACTATGGCTACTACACATACTATGGCTACTACACATACTATGGCTACTACACATACTATGGCTACTACACATACTATGGCTACTACACATACTATGGCTACTACACATACTATGGCTACTACACATACTATGGCTACTACACATACTATGGCTACTACACATACTATGGCTACTACACATACTATGGATACTACACATACTATGGCTACTACACATACTATGGCTACTACACATACTATGGCTACTACACATACTATGGCTACTACACATACTATGGCTACTACACATACTATGGCTACTACACATACTATGGCTACTACACATACTATGGATACTACACATACTATGGCTACTACACATACTATGGCTACTACACATACTATGGCTACTACAGCTGCGGTGTATAGTATGGGTAATACAGCTACAATGAGTACTATGGCTACGAAAGCTACTACAGGTACTATGGCTACTAGAGCTACGATGGCTCATCTGTATCGTCCACCTAAACACTACATCAACAACCACCACAACCACTTCTACAACAACAACCACCACAACCACTTCTACAACAACAACCACCTCAACCACTTCTACAACAACAACCACCACAACCACTTCTACAACAACAACCACCACAACCACTTCTACAACAACAACCACCACAACCACTTCTACAACAACAACCACCACAACCACTTCTACAACAACAACCACCACAAATACTTCTACAACAACAACCACCACAACCACTTCTACAACAACAACCACCACAACCACTTCTACAACAACAACCACCACAACCACTTCTACAACAACAACCACCACAACCACCTCTACAACAACAACCACCTCAACCACTTCTACAACAACAACCACAACAACCACTTCTACAACAACAACCACCACAACCACTTCTACAACAACAACCACCACAAATACTTCTACAACAACAACCACCACAACCACTTCTACAACAACAACCACCACAACCACTTCTACAACAACAACTACCACAACCACTTCTACAACAACAACCACCACAACCACTTCTACAACAACAACCACCATAACCACTTCTACAACAACAACTACCACAACCACTTCTACAACAACAACCACCACAACCACTTCTACAACAACAACCACCACAACCACTTCTACAACAACAACTACCACAACCACTTCTACAACAACAACCACCACAACCACTTCTACAACAACAACCACCACAACCACTTCTACAACAACAACCACCATAACCACTTCTACAACAACAACTACCACAACCACTTCTACAACAACAACTACCACAACCACTTCTACAACAACAACCACCACAACCACTTCTACAACAACAACCACCACAACCACTTCTACAACAACAACCACCACAACCACTTCTACAACAACAACTACCACAACCACTTCTACAACAACAACTACCACAACCACTTCTACAACAACAACCACCACAACCACTTCTACAACAACAACCACCACAACCACTTCTACAACAACAACTACCACAACCACTTCTACAACAACAACCACCATAACCACTTCTACAACAACAACTACCACAACCACTTCTACAACAACAACTACCACAACCACTTCTACAACAACAACCACCACAACCACTTCTACAACAACAACCACCACAACCAATTCTACAACAACAACCACCACAACCACTTCTACAACAACAACTACCACAACCACTTCTACAACAACAACTACCACAACCACTTCTACAACAACAACCACCACAACCACTTCTACAACAACAACCACCATAACCACTTCTACAACAACAACTACCACAACCACTTCTACAACAACAACTACCACAACCACTTCTACAACAACAACTACCTATTCGACTCCTCCTCGTGTTTCTCGCAGCTGTCCTCTACGAGTAGTACTTTTAACCGTGTTTATCTCACTGTTGCGACTTTCACTGCTATGTCTGCTGCCTCTACTGTATCTACTGCTACTATTACAATACCTACTACTAACATTACAATATCTACTACTTCTATTACAATATCTCCTACATATATTTGAATGTCTACTACTATCACTACTAGTAGTAGTATCACTACTACTAGTAGTGATACTGTAAAAGTATCACTACTAATAGTGATACTTTTACAGTTTCACTAATACACTATCTACTACCACTACTACTATTGCAATATCTACTACTACTATTACAATATCTGCTACTACAAAAAAGTGCAAAAGTACAAGCCCAGAGGAAATAAGGGTGGGAGGGGGGGGGGGGGTTTCTATTATATCTCGAACATGGGGGAGGAGGGATGGTACCAGGGGTCCTCATACTGCATGGGTGAGGGCTTGGGAGGTGTGAGGAGCGGTGCAGCACGGGTGAGGAGAGGGTATACTCAGATATATCCACCACGAGTTGGTGGCGGGGGGGGGGGGGGTGTTCCCGGACATATCCATTACGGGTGGGGAGGGGGGGCGGGGTATTCGGACATATGCATCACGAGAGAGAATGGGGAAACCTGGATATATCCAGCGCTTGAGAATATTCCGCTGAACTCTCCGGATTATATAGGATTTATGGACTGACTCAACGACCCAGCTGAAGATATACGCCACAACACTGAATAGAAGAAGTCCATCGTGTTGAACAATATACATCGATACGCACACATTGGCGCCACTAAAGAAAATCTAAAGAGTTTACATCAATTTAAGTCAAATTAAAATACAATGGAACATTGTAGACCAGGTAAAACACGACACTGCGTATAACGACCTCCAAGAGACATGTTCACCAAAGCCAAATTACACTTTAAGCGAGCATAATGAAAAGCTTTCATTCACAAGAACGTGAAGAGCGTCTGGTAAATCATGATAGTAATATTCATCTATTTTATGGACTGTTTCACTGATAATTGTTTGTTGGTGTTAGCATTTAAACCAAACGTCACTATATAATTCCTGTCAGACTTTATGGTGATGATGAGAGTGACTCTTCTAGACCACTAGGGTGAGTGGTGGTGAGTGACAACTAGGGTGAGTAGTGGTGGGGGTGAGTGACCACTAGGGTGAGTAGTGGTGGTGGTGAGTGACCACTAGGGTGAGTAGTGGTTGTGGTGAGTGACCACTAGGGTGAGTCGGGGTGGTGGTGAGTGACCACTAGGGTGAGTCGGGGTGGTGGTGAGTGACCACTAGGGTGAGTAGTGGTGGGGGTGAGTGACCACTAGGGTGAGTGGTGGTGAGTGACAACTAGGGTGAGTAGTGGTTGTGGTGAGTAACCACTAGGCTGAGTAGTGGTGGTGGTGAGTGACCACTAGGGTGAGTCGGGGTGGTGGTGAGTGACCACTAGGGTGAGTCGGGGTGGTGGTGAGTGACCACTAGGGTGAGTCGAGGTGGTGGTGGTGAGTGACCACTAGGGTGAGTCGGGGTGGTGGTGAGTGACCACTAGGGTGAGTCGGGGTGGTGGTGAGTGACCACTAGGGTGAGTCGAGGTGGTGGTGGTGAGTGACCACTAGGGTGAGTAGTGGTGGTGGTGAGTGACCACTAGGGTGAGTCGGGGTGGTGGTGAGTGACCACTAGGGTGAGTCGAGGTGGTGGTGGTGAGTGACCACTAGGGTGAGTAGTGGTGGGGGTGAGTGACCACTAGGGTGAGTCGGGGTGGTGGTGGTGAGTGACCACTAGGGTGAGTAGTGGTGGTGGTGAGTGACCATTAGGGTGAGTAGTGGTGGTGGTGGTGAGTGACCACTAGGGTGAGTAGTGGTGGTGGTGAGTGACCACTAGGATGAGTAGTGGTGGTGGTGAGTGACCACTAGGGTGAGTCGGGGTGGTGGTGGTGAGTGACCACTAGGGTGAGTAGTGGTGGGGGTGAGTGACCACTAGGGTGAGTCGGAGTGGTGGTGGTGAGTGACCACTAGGGTGAGTCGGGGTGGTGGTGGTGAGTGACCACTAGGATGAGTAGTGGTGGTGGTGAGTGACCACTAGGGTGAGTGGGGGTGGTGAGTGACCCCTAGAGTGAGTGGTGGAGGGTGCGGTGTTCACATTGTTTTCTCTCGCTAAGAAGTATATAATCTTCTGACATTCTCCTTCAGGAAGCGCTAGTCGTCCTGCCGTTCTCTTGCTACAACCTTCCTATAAATTCATAACCAACAAAATAAGGTTCAATAGCCAAAAATCTCCAGTTCACGTATGATGTCCTCAATTTCAATCATAATCTTTGTAACGACTAGGTTGCACCAGATCACTAGGGTGAGTATAGATTACTAGGGTGTAGTGATCTACACCCTAGATTATCGAGCTTTGCTGGTTGGTCTCTCACTCTTCTCTCTACGTGACTCCTATGGGACATATTGTGTTAAGAAGTTCCTTTCCGCTACTTCTACCAGCTTCACTCTCCGTGTTTGTTCTCCACTTTCTCAATCGTTTGATTCCAAGTCAGTTTGTGTATGATTGGAGCGTCTTATTACCAGGAGCATTGTTTTTAATTTAAAAAGTGTTTCTACTACTTTGTGAGATTATTGATCACCTGCTTGTACTAGTTATTTTATTTTTATTTAAATTGAACTGTTCAATAATTCTATTGACCTGTTAAATAATATGCATGATTAGTTTCTCGTTAATATTTGAAATTCTTCCATATTTTTTCAATTAAGTTATTTTGTCTTCTCTCGTGTTATTTTGTCTCTTTTTGTGATTTATATGTATGGATAAAATACATTATGACCATTTTATTTTATTTCTATATTTTATATTGCCT